TCCGGCTCCCCTTCCTCGCTTCTGTGGTGGAGAGGCTTCTCGCGCACTGACGGGACCTGCAACCTCAGGTCATTCCTCCCTGTGTGGGAGTTACTTTGCACGGGTCGTGGAAACAAAGCGGCGTTTCTGAAACCTCCGAGAGCTGTGGGGTGGCGAAGGCCGACGGGGGGTGTGTGCGCTCACTGCCCCAGCTGAGGCGGTCATTCAGAAGCTGCGCCTCTTAAGTAAGTTTCAATAGCACTCAAGAAGTGTATTTTGCAGTGTGGTAAATAAATCTCTAGCAAGTGCAATGTGGCAATCCTCCTCGTCAGGAGGAGGAACTGGCCCCTGACTGCAGCCAGAGCTGACAAACCAGCCTCTTCCTGCTGTGCTGTCTGTATTTCCTCCTTCGCTGCCTTGCCACGCTCTTTGCGTAACTGCTGGGGAGATGCCAGCACCTCGTGGCACTGCCCGCCTGTTGTGGTTTAACCCGGCAGGCAGCTAAACACCACACAGCCATTCGCTCACTCCCCCCCGCCCCCCCTGGGATGGGGGAGGGAATCAGGGGAAAAAAAAAAAAAAATTCACAGGTTGAGATAAAGACAGTTTAGTAGCACAGAATAGGAAGGGAAAATTAATAATAATAATAATGATAAAAGAATATACAAAACAAGTGATGCACAATGCAATTGCTCACCACCCACCGACCGATGCCCAGCCAGTCCCTGAGCAGCGGTCATCCCTCCCCTGGGTAATTCCCCCCAGTTTCTGTACTGGGCATGACGTCCCATGGTATGGAATGTCCCTTTGGCCAGTTGGGGTCAGCTGTCCTGGCTGTGCCCCCTCCCAGCTTCTTGTGCACCTCCAGCCTGCTCAGTCGGCAGAGCATGGGAAGCTGAAAAGTCCTTGACTAGTGTAAGCACTGCTCAGCAACAACTAAGACATCGGTGCGTTATCAACATTATTCTCATCCTAAATCCAAAACACAGCACTGTGCCAGCTGCTAGGAAGGAAACTAACTCTGTCCCAGCCGAAACCAGGACACTGGCCTTGCTGCAGAGTGTGGTCCTGTTTGTAAGCCATGAGTTCGGGCTTTTCTGGGAGCTGAGTGGCATGCGTCACCTTCACCCCATTGCCTTCCCAGAGCAAGTCTCCTTTCTCAGTCCTACCCTGAGACTCCGTGACTCAGGCAGTGGTACCTCTTGCTGTTTTGGGTAACCACCTTGTCTGGCCAGAGGCCCGCAGGAGCTGGTGGGTGGGGGCAGCTTATGGCCCTGCTGGTCTGGGGAGCGGGTGGGAGCTCTGAATCTGCAGCTGGTGGGTTGTGCAGCCTCTGAAGTCAGTGGCTTGCCGTGCAGGGTCAGTGTGCTGCCATGTCCCGTTGGGCTCCTGACTGGTGAGCACTGGAGTTTCTGGTGTAGAAGTAATACCAGAGCCTGCGGAGAGCAGCAGCCTTTGATTTCACGAGGGACCAAAACCAGCAGTACAGTTCTGGCATTGCACTGGAAATTTGCTGCTAGCTGCGCTTGCTGTGGCACAGGCAACAGAGAATTAACACTTGGAGTGTTGAACACGCCTTCACGGGAAAAATATATGCAGCTAATTGGGTGATGAGCTAAAACCTAGCAGCCACGGGCTGGCCCAAAACGTGGGGTCAGAGGACAATAGGGTTAACTAGGGCTGCAAGTCAACATCAAGTGCAAATGAAAGCATGTCAGTTCAGGGAAGCTTGGAGGTGGGGTTTGGGAGGCTGTGGTAGTGTTCCTTCCACAGGGAGATACCACCAGCCTGGCAGATCTGGCTGGACCGGAACAGCCTCCAGGGTGACTTAAGAGCTGTGCTGTCAGACCGTCTCCGGGCTCCCGGAGAGCTGGTGTGACTAGGCAGCGCATGTGTCAGCCGGCTTGCTCACAGCGCTGCTCCCTGGGAAGGCGCACCAGGGAGAGACGGAGTTTCCTGTCTAGACCCCAGTAATCGCGGTGAGGAGGAGTTTGCATGCAAGCTCCTGCTCTTTCTCCTGTGATTACTGAAGCAGAAACCAGGCCACAGCTCCTCGGGAAGGAACACCTCGCTTCTGCCACGCGTCTCGGAAAATGCGGCAACCGTCTGCTCCTCGCTCCCCCTCGACTCGGGCCATTAGTCAGAGTGGGAGCCAGCTGCTGTGCTGGCTCCAGCGCTGGAGTCCTGCTGCCGGCCTGCAGGAGAGCTCAGGAAGTTTGCAGCCCCCCACCTGCAGGTGCAGGGTTTCCCTTGACGCTCAAGGGAATGAGTCTCTCCCTGGAGGCTACTTTTGGGAGGAAGGATTAAAAGCGTCAGGACCAGCCCAGATACTCTTGCCCCAGAAACTACATGACCGAGGAGAGTGATTGAGGGAAGTACAAATTCTCTTAATCCTTACCTGCCTGGGACTGCAGGTGATGCTTAAGTAAAGAAATGGCATTAAACCATGTCCCTTTGCCATGAGCTGTGTAGCTCCAGCACCCTTGCTCCCCCGGGGAGGGCAGAGCACACCACTGCACAGGAGTGGTCAGCGTGGATCCCCATGGGCCACGACAGCCATGAACGCTCCTGCGCCGCGTCAGGCCACGTTAGTGGGTCCCTTGTCCACGGGGAAGCGGGGCCTAGATGGTCGCCAGCACGGCTTCCTAACAGGGGACGTTTGAAATCCCACTGTGTTAGGAGATCAGAGCTGTCGTTTGCGGCCTGCCGGCTCCTGGCTGCGCATGGAGGCTTCCCTGCGCGGCAGCAGGGCTGTCTGGCTCTCCTGAGGTCGCTGCCGGGGCTAGCCTGCCTGCGGAGAGCTGCTCTCTGGAAATGTCTCTTGCTGCCTGGTGGGCACGAGGGGGAGTGGAGAGGACAGAAAGCCAGAACTGTTTCATAGACTAATTTAATTGCATAAAAATTTTTTTTTAGTAATAAATTAATACATAGAAGTCAGCTCCGCTGATGCCGCTCTCCTCCAGTCAGCGGAGTGAGGTGGAGCTCAGACCCACGCAGGTTTTCCGGGACCTGTCTCCCCTCGCAGCCTTCAGATTCAGTTCCCTAGATGTGAAATCCCTCGACGTCTGTCCGGGCAGCGTGAGAACGGCACGGCGGTGGCAGAAGTCCTGCTCGTGCGTCAGCGAGTCGTTGGCAGCAGGAACCGGCGCTGCGCCTCCTCTTCCCGCGGTTTCCTGAAAAGCAGCTCTTGTGAGCGAGAGGGATCCCATGTGCCTGGGGACTGCGTGAGAGGGACAAGGAGCCCTTTGCCCTACCCACGGCCCTAGCTGTTGCTAACAACCTTTACTGTTTAAATAAAAGCCCTTCAGTATTTAGAAACGGGGCTGGAAGAGATGTCCTCATGGCATGGGCATTTCAGCTGAGTGTACAGAAGTGTCACTGCAGGTCTGCTGCGAGGAGATGGATGGGGAGTGATGGCAGCAGGACTGTCCCATGTGCTAATGAATTTTCCCTTCAGCGGTAGGGGTCCCAGCTCCCCGTGGGCTTGGAGGAGTCGGGGGGGAGGCTCTCAGGGGAGCATCAACTTCGCAGTTCTTGCCTGTCGCTAGCTGGCAGTGGCCGTGTCCTCTGGCTCACACACAAGCCCGCCTGGCCTGCCCCCCCATAGCAAGGAGGGTGCTGCTCGGTGGAGACCAGTGTGTGCTTCTGCTGCAGCCTGCGCCCGTGGGTGCTGCTCTGCTCCAGCCAGCCGGCAGCTGGGGGAGCACCCCAGAGCAGCATGTGTTTTTACCCTTTCCTCCAGCCCCCCTGCACGGCTGAGCAGTGCTGAGGACCTCCGCTGTCCCCCTTTAGCTGTCCTTGGTTTTGGTGGGCTTTGGAGGCCATTCATGCCTGTGGCCGGGGAGGCGATTGGTGGAACCTACGGCAGGATGCTCTAGGCTGAGGCCCGGACTCCTGTAATTTAATAATAATCTTGCTAATGCTTATTGGTACCTAGCTTGGCCCGGACACCGAGCTCTATCGAGCTCCCCAGGCCCGCAGGAAGGTGCTCAGTGTTGGGCTGTAACCACCGTGGGGTAGTGGGAGCATTGTGCTGCAGCGGTCCCCAGCAGGCTTTGCTGGGAAGGGAACCTTGTGAGGACAGCAAGCCCCGTGCCAGCATGCAGCAGGTACCACCCGTGGAGCCCCACGTGTGCCCCCGAGGGCTCTCCCCATGGTCTTCCACTAGCCCAGCTCTGGGGAGCCTCCCCGAGGGTCCCCCCAGCCCATAAGGAAATGCATTTGGAGCGGCGCTCTCCCTGCTGCCGCCAAAGGAGGTCTGCATCCAGCAGTGAGGGCTGCCTGCACTCGCACCGCAACGCCTTCCGCCGGCCTGGCATCCACTGGAGACTGTTGTGTCTGTTGTTTGGAAACCCAGAGAAAATAGTCAAAAGAGCCAAGCGCCAATTTTTCCAGTTACCTAGGAGCACCCAGACTAGCAGGAAAAAACGCTGCATGCTGAATTCCTATCTTGGGATGCACAGCTTCAGGCTGCTTCCCTGCCAAGCCTAGCCTAATTAAAGATGATTAAGGAGACACACGTATTTGGAGATGATGCCAGGGAATTTCTGATAGAAAGGAGGGTCTGGGTTTAGGAAACTGGCCCAACTGGGAAAAAGAGCCTTTTTTACCGAAGCACGAAAGGATTTTGCTGTCATAAGGAGGCCTCAGCATGTTAGTTCCTTTCTAGGCTCCAAGCGTTACAGGATCTGATTTCCTTTTCCTTCCTTGCTACGGTTAATGTATCCCACTGTTTGCAGCTCTGCTGTTGCAACGGCGCCGGCAGCTCCGAGGAGAAGGTTTCAGAGGGAACAAAATTCAAAGTCTGTGTAAACATTGCCCAGGATAAACATTAACACTTCCAGGATGCCTCTGGAAATGAATAACCGCTGTCCTCACTCCGGGAAGCCCGTAGGGTCGTGCGTGCCCTCAGCAGGCTGCTTGCAGCTCTGCCCCGGCAGCTCTTGGCCCCAGCACCCTGGCACGTGCGGTCAGTGCCAAGGCGGACGGACCTTAACTCTCCTGGGTTTTCTGCCTTGCAGCAGAAGAAGTCGTACCTGGAGCGGAGCGTGAAGGAAGCAGAAGATAACATCCGGGAAATGCTGATGGCCCGAAGGGCGCAGTAGCTGTGCGGCTCCCCCCGGGCCTCCTGTGACACCCTCTGGGTGGTTTTGGGTAGCTCTGCGTGTGCGCTGCTCACCGCCACCCGGCTGCACGAGTTCCGTTCTATGGCAGTTTCAATAAAACTCTGCTGCGAAGCCTGAGCTTGTTTCCTCTGCCTGCCGCCTCGGCGTCTCGCAGCGGCTGCTCTCCCTGCGGGGATGCGATGGAGAAAGGAGGTGGTGGTGGAATTTGGGGTGAGGGCCCTTCGGGGAATCCTGCTTCACTTTAAAGCAGCCGTAGCCCTCTCCCTCTGGAAGACCCCGTGTGCTGCTCGGCGCTGGGGAAGGCTAGCTACGTTGTTCTTCTGGAGCGGGGCTGGCAAAACTGCAGCGGGGGAAAAGGGGGGCTGGCAGGGCAGGACAGAGCAGAGCAGGACCGGCTGTCACAGGCACCTCCAGGTGACAGGCACTGGTTCCCTCCTTGTACGCACGGGCCTGGCAGAGCCCCAGAGCGGCGGCGAGCTTGTGGAGGGCCAGTGCCACCCTGTGCTTCGTGCTTGCAGTGCACCAGCCTGGCCGCCTCCTTCCCCTACTCCTGACTTTGGTGCTTTTCTGAAATGGAGCTTTCAGGGATGTCTCCTCTCCTGCCAGCAGCTCCTTGGGATCTTGGAGCTGGGCAGGAGTTTCCAGGTCCCATTGCCAAGCCCCCCGTGCGCTTGCCCCATAGCCACACGGGCGCTGTCACACTCTGGGCTGGCCCGTTGCCACTTGCTTCCTCCCAGGCCACGTCACCTGCTCACCGACTGGTCCGGCTTGGTCTTCGCTGGTGATCACACACCTGCACTGGCTGCAGTCGCTGCCCCATGGGCACGGGGGCCTGTGGGCTGATCCCCCACAGTGCGCTCACACCCTGCACACACACATGCACACTCAGTAGGGAGCCCTCACCCAGGACAGAGTTTAAGAGGAATTTAGTAAGATCGGACAGACTGCGCTGATCAGGCGCTGGACAAGTGTGCCGACCAGCTGGTCGTTTACATCCAACTGGTCCTTTTGTCCCCATACCTCACTATTTTTCCACACTTGTTCCTCCCAACTCCACCTTAGGGTCCTCCACTAAACGTCCCATAGCAAGTCCTGTGCAATCCCAAACAGCTTTTCCCTGCATCCGATAATGTGTCCCACCCCGGGCATCAACCCCTTATTCCGAAAGGCTGTCTGGAGAGCTGCTCTGGGTCACCCATGGGGGTGGGCGTAGCCTGGACGTGGGGCTGAGGCTCTGTGGGGACAGCCCTGGGAAAGGCCCCGGACAAGGCGTCTGTGCCTCGAGTGTCCTCGGCTTGTGTTCCTGCCTGCCATGGTGCCTGTGTGCACCTCCGGGCTTGTGGCTGGGCCTGTGAGGGGCTGACGGACCCTGTGATGGGCCTGGGGGTGGCCCGGCTGGGTATTACCTGGGCTCCCCTCCTGCTGGGTCTCTCTGAGCTCCTGTGTGGGTGTGCAGAGGTGCTTTATCCCAGAACCGATCACAAGCTGCCACGTCTTCTGCTGCTTCCCAACCTTGGCTCTGGTGCTTGCTGGCATCTGCCAGCTGCCATGCCTGGCAGCACCCAGCAAAGGTGCAGGGATGGGCAAACCGGGTGGGTCCTGGACCAGGGGTCCACCCGGTTTGGTCCCGGGGCAGGGCGCAGGCCTGGCCTAGGCAGGGCGGATCAGCCCGTAGCTGGGCTGACTCCCCCACTGCAGGGGCTGCCTTGCACTGGGCTGGGCTGAGCTTCACCCCCTGCCCTGCCCTGGCACCAGCACGGGGAAGGTGGTGTCCAGGCTCACTGGGGCTCTGGTGGAGCCCTCTCTTCTCCAGCACCCTGAGCCTGATTTCCGCCCCCGAAAAGCCCCAGGCAGCTGGCACCCCGCACGGTGCAGGGTGGCTGGAACCCGGGGCAGCCGTTCCCGATGGAGCGTGGGAGATGTGGCGTCCCCTCCATATCCCCAAGGACAGGCACTGTGGCACCGAGGGCAGGGTGCTGCAGGGGTGTGTGCTGCTGTAGCAACGAGCCCAGGACCACAGGCACTTTGTTGGTGTTTGAGATGGGTGCCGAAGCAAAAGGCAGAGCGCAGCAAACCCGAGTCCTCTCCCTTTCCATGCTGGAGGCCGGGGGCAAATGGCCCCAGACCAGCTCCTGCTCCTACCTGAGGCAGCGCAAGAACCAGCCTGTGGCTGTGAAGTGGCTGCGCAGGGCTGGGGCCTCGCCTCGTGCCCCGTTAGGCCATTTCTGGGGAGCAGCCAAGGCCAGGCTGGGTGGGCTGACCACCACAATGGGGCGAGGGGCTGGAGGGGGGGGGAACGGGCAGCCGGGCAGGCAGGGGCATGGGTGCAGGGCAGCTGAACACCTCACTTTTACCCCCCTGCCAAGGCAGGGTGAGCCAGGGGGCCACCCTTCTGAGCCCCAACGGCTGCCAAGCTGCCAGGGAGGCGACAGCGACCGTCCAGCAGACCCAAGCTGCCGCCTGCAGGGGGGCAGCCCCCACGCAAGGGGCTTGAAGGTTCCTGGGTCAGGCTGCTGCCAGGGGCCCTCATCAACCCAAACCAAATTGTCTTGCCCCAGACCAGAGCCCCAAAACTGCATTTCTAAGATCCAAGCGGAGGTGTACAGAGTGGCCAGGCTGTGCCAGCAGTGGCAGGCACCCGGTCGAGGGGGGAACTCCCAGACAAAAAAGCGCAGAGGAACCCAGCGAGGTGCCTTGTGAGGCCTGAGCAAGCCTCGTGCCATGGCAGCCGTGACCCTGCCATGCAGTTTGCAAGTAAGTCCTGTCCCTACATCGGTTGCCTCAGGCCTGGGTGCCGGACCCGGGCCCGTGCAGGAGCAGGGGAGCAGAGCTGCTGCCTCGGCTGGAGCACAGGAAGAGCCTCAGGGTCCAGACAAGCACAACCCTCATTTAGCTCAGCTTGGGCCACCCTTCCCTCTCCTGGCACCTGCTGCCGGGTCTCAGGGAGGCTGGATGCAGCATACACAAACCGAGGGACGGTGAGCGCAGTGCCCATTGAAGCCCTGCTGCAAAAGGGTACAAGATCACTCGGTGATCTTCAGGCGATACAAAGCAAAGCCCGTGTGTGTGTCAGTCCACCAGGAACGGTTTTGCTCCGGAGGCAGAGAGAACAGCAGGGGAGCAGCTGGCTGGGAACCATCCCCCCTGGTGACCAGCAGCAAGTTTCCTCACTTTCCTGCAGATGAAAGCTTTTTATCCCTCTTCTGGCCAGGCCTGCCATGAAGCAGCTTCAGCTATAAATCCTCAGCACCAAATTAATCCATGGCCTTGTTTCTTCTTACTCATTAATTTACCCCCCGCAAGCCTATACTCTGCAGCAGGGGGATGATGGATCACTGCTCAAAACCCCCGAGCGGGATCAGTCCTCCCTCGGGAGCTGCTGGCACACACACGCAGCAGCTCAGCATATGCTTCCCCCCAGCTCTCTGCCATCCCAGGAGCTGCTGGAGAGGCCCCCAGTCCCAGAAGGGGACCTGCATGTCCAGCCCTGAGTAAGTGGAGGGATGAAAACCCGACTGAGCCACCCTGTGTGGGACGAGGGGGTTGGTGGTGTCAGACACAGGCACTCCACCCTCCCCAGCTGGTTTCACTGCGCTCTCACAGCTTATGCACCAGGCTGCTGCAGAAAATCCTCCAGACACGGGTAACAGCAGGGCCAGATGCCCCCAGCCCAGGCCCCAGTGAGGGGTCGAGGCACAAACTTCTGCAGCAAAGCTGCTTGAAGCCGCTTGAAGCCAAGTCCATCGTTGCTGTTGCAGAGTCAGCGCATGTGGGAGGCTGAGAACAGACAGGGACGGGGGAAGCACACCCTCTACGGGACAGATTTATTGAAACAGTCGGGACCTAGCAAAGAAAATCAACTGTTGGCTTTAATTATTGCGTACATCTTCATTTCTAGGACTAGGAAAATTTCAACTGATAAATACACATTTCATCAGAATGCCTTTGGCTGAAATATGCCATTAGCACATTCTTCAAAGTTACAACAAAAGTCTTAGAAATGTTAAAAAGGGATTTTTCCTTTACTAAAATAAAGGAGTGCACCCCCCACCCCAAGAAGGCGCTAGGACTGACAGACGGGAACTCTTGGCTGTGCAAAGCAGAGCGTTGATTACAGTAACAGAAAGAAGTCAGGACAGGAGTGGGGAGCCTGCATAGCACTCAGTGAGAGGTACGGGAGGCAGCTGCAGCAGAGTCAGGTCAACATGTCCCAGAGGCAGCAGCAGCAGAGCGCAGTCCAGCATGCCGTCAGGCAGGCGCTCTCGCCCGTGTCGTCCCTTCGCCGCTCCTCCACGACGTACACTGCGGGGACAGGAGAGCTCGGTCAGTCAAAGAGCAGCACAGCAATGTCCACAGCGGCCAACCATGTCTGCCGCCCCCGGCACAGCTGTGGTGCCCCTCTGCACCCCAGCACTCGCTTTGGGTGGCCCACACTTGCTGGAGACAAGCTGGCGCACGGGCGAGCGCTCGCAGGAGCGGAGGTGCCGAGCTCCCGTGCTGGGTGCCGCAGCCCCTCGGGCCACGATTTCATCACTGCAGCAGCACCCCGTGAGGACCTGCTGCCCCCTCCCATCACTGCAGCACCCCTCGGATGGGAAGGGTCCCCAGGGGAAGCACTTCTTTCCACAGCCGGGCCCAGGCTGCTGGGACTGCGCAACATTATGATCTCGACACAAGCAGCCGGTGCAGGTCAGCCAGGACCAGACTTCTGTTACGTCGCGTACAGTTATTGACCAAGAAAACAGGCTCAGCCTGGAAGGCGCCTGCTCCGAGTGAGCTGCCCTCCCGGGCGCGTTGGTGCCTAAGCCTCCCTGCCTGCCCCGCAGCCTCCCCCTGCCCTCTGACAACCCCCAGCCAGCGGGAGGTCCCTGGAGCAGAGTGCTCAGGGGTGCCCTGGCTGAAGCCAAAGCCCCTCCAGGCTCGGCACAGCTGCCCTTCCCAGGGCAGGAGGTACCCAGCCCAGGCGGCAGTGCTGGAGGGGACCCTGCGCTCCTACAGCACTTGGGGCGCTGGGGAGGGAGCACATGCGAGGAGGGTGGTGGGTCAGACGTGGCTAAGGGCCACACTCCCACCCAGCCGCTCACTCGCTGTCCCTCCTCAGCAGGGCAAGATGGGAA